ATATTCCTGCGGCCCGTAGCACATGATCACATGGGAGTTCCATAAACTGTAACCACCACCACTGTGTTATTTGTGTCTGTAGTATACATGTGTGAATGTGGTTTTGTATGTGCTTGTGTATGTGGAGGTCAGAGGTCAACATTTTGCGTCTTCCTCTGTCACTCCCTACCTTAGTTTTTCAGATCTCTCAGTGAACATGGAGACAGTCATTTTTGTGAGGCAACTTGGCTCAAAAGCCCCAGGGATCCTCCTGTGTCAGCCTCCCCAGTGCTGGGGTTACAGACACACTCCACCATGCCCATGTTTGATGTGGGTGCTAGATCCAAACTCAGGTCTATGTCATGCTCGTGACACAAGCATTTTGCTGACTGAGCATCCATCTCCATCACTGCAGCATTTTGAGGGGAGAGTTGCAAAGGTCTAACCAAGGGGTTTCTTGGTGATGCTGAAGAAGGCAGTTAAATAGATTTTCTGCTCCCTGGCCTGTGAACTAGAAAGCCCAGGTGAGAGATAGCCTAGTGGTCAAGTGGGAGATAGAAGCCCCGAGAGCTGACAGTTTTTATCCAACGTGAAGTGGTCCTGTCACCCGACCAGAATATTCTTAGCTAGGACAATCTCGGAGATTATCCTAGGCAAATAAAGACATCATCACCTTATTACAGCGCCATATAAGGAATATGTAACTGAATTTGCCTCAGTTTGTATCCAATTGATTTCTTATGTTAATCCCGATAACAGCCCTTTGGAGAAATCATCCCATTTAGTAGATGGTGACATTGAAGGCATATAGTTCAGGAGTGATGGCTTGGGGCTCCAACCTGCACTGCAGTTTTAATTATGGCTATGATGATTGTCAATCCTATCCAGGCTTTTTGGTCCTATTCTTTGAGTTCCCATTACTGGGTATTTCAGGGAAACAGATTCTCTCTTTCTCATTTTTTTTTTTTGAGACAGAGTTTCTCTGTGTAGTTCTGGCTGTCCTGGAACTAACTCTGTAGACCAGGCTGGCCTCAAATTCAAGAGATCCTCCTGCCTCCAGAGTGCTGGGATTAAAGTCATGGGTCACCATCACCTGGCATATTCTGTCTCTTTTTACTGGACAATTTTCTCTCTTTCTCTTTTTCTATCTTTTCTTTTTCTTTTTTTTGTCAGTTGGTTTATTATTGTGTGTGTAAGGTGTGAAGATTTGAGTGTGGGCACACACACGTCTTGAAGCATGTTTGGAGATCAGAGGAGAGCTTCTGGGAGTCGGGTTTTTCCCTATCTGGGGATAGAACTCAGGGCATCAGGCCCAGTGGCAAGTGTCTTTACAAGCACAGCCATCTGGCTGGCTCTTTTCTTGTTTCTTTCCTTCATTCTTTGGCACCCTCATGTCCTCTTCAGACAAGGTCTAAGATGGCTCCACTGAGCTCCATCCCCAGGTTACTGAAGAATTTTCTAACAAGGCTTGTTATGGCCTGAATGGTTTCTCCCCAAATTCCTCTGTTGAGACTAATTCCCTATGTGACAGTTTAGGAGGTCTGGTCTTAGGAAGGTTGATGAGGTCAGGAGGACTCTGACCTTATTAGTGTGATTCATGTCCTTCAAAGAGGGAGGCCGGAGGGCTAGCTGAATGGATCTACCATGAAGACACAAGAAGTTAGCAGGCTGGAATCCAGAGAAGCTGGCCTATCAGTGCATTAGCTGCTGCGTGGCATAATAGCCAAGCGCTGGTAAACTATAAAGGACAGGTTTATTTGTCTTATGTACTGTGGAGGACAAAGTAAAGTGGCTCCATCTGGTGATGGTTCTGCTGGCCCAAGTGCCCCCTGTGGCACAGAGCTGCACACCAGACCGGGAGTGTGCTTGTTTCTGTGTCTGTTTGTCTGTCTGCTAGCCCTCTTCTTCCCGAGTGACCAGTATTTAATCCTAATCATACCAAGGATCTTAATCCTGATCATCTCCTAATGATCCACCTCTAGTTGCCAAGGTCAGATGACCTTTCCACCCCCCTCAGTACCTCATCACAAGGAGTAAACTTCCACATACGGGTCTTTGGGGGCACACTTCTTTTTTCTTGTGTACGGTATTAGTGTGGACAAAGAACTTAATATTACTTACTACAATGTATCAAACTTTCAAGGTCTTTCCCCAGAGAAAATAGCTGCACACATGTGTTTCTTCATAAAACACAATAAAAAAATGAGGATCTGTCTTTGTAGGTCCTAGTAATAAATCCTATCTTATTTAGGTATATTTTTATTTATGCATATTATAAATGATATTCTTATGCAGGATTGAGTTAAGACCCAGTAGTTCTTAAATAATGCTATCAAATTGCCATATAAATTCCACATGTAGCAAAGGTGAACAATCTTTGTAGTCAGGGCACACTTCAATCCTGGCAAGGGCCTCATGAAAATCTCACGTTGCTGGTGTCCTACCCTCATACTTCTAGCCTGCAGAACTGACCAGTAAACACCCCTGTTTAAGCCACCCAGCCTACCATCATGTTACAGAAAGCCTCAGTTAAAAGAAATAGGTGCCATCAAAGCCTCCACCCCCTCTAAGCATTCCGTTGGGACCTGGTGTGACCATGAGGGGGAGAGCGCTGTAAATAAATTAGGATGGTCCACTTTCGAGATAAAAAGTCCCATCGTGAGGTCAGAGCTTAATGACAGAGGCAGCTGGTGCCTGCTTGTCGGGACTTTCAGGTTGCTGCCCCTCCTCCCAAAGCAGAAGTTTAGCTCAGGGTGGAAAAAAATCACAGGCAGCCTGTGTACGTGACTAAGCCCACGCATCTGGAGGGCCCCTAAGTAACAGGATACCGGGGTGGGAAAAGCCAGAAAGAGAGTCTTTGTTGTGAGACATGAACATAAAAGAAGAAAGGATATAAGAAAGTAATGAGGAACAGGTGTGGTGTTGCATGCCTTTAATCCCAGCACTGGGAAGGCAGAGGTTAAGAGGAACTCTGTGAGTTCTACGCCAGCTTGGTCTCCATCGAAAACTCTGGCCACGTAGTGAGATTCTGTCTTTAAAACGAAAACAAAGGGTTGGGGATTTAGCTCAGTGGTAGAGCACTTGCCTAGCAAGCACAAGGCCCTGGGTTTGGTCCTCAGCTCCGACAAAAACAAAAAACAAAACAAACAAAAAACACAAGGAAACCTAGGTGACATCTGGTTAGGACTGTGCACCCCAGAATGCAGTCACTCAGTCAATGAGGAGCTGGAGGATGAATGTGTGTGATAGGGGAGATTGTTTTTGGTAATGAAGCTGTATCTGTCTGCTTTCCAGGTATGGCAAGACAGTGAGTAAAGTCTGGTTTTTGCTGCACTCTGTTTCTCCAAATCCAGCTTGAGTTTGGGCAAGGGCATTTTTTTTCTCATAGAACCGATTATTTTAGAAGTCTTTCCCAACTTTAGTCATCCATAAATGTCCCACAGGTAGTCTTTGTGTATCTTTGAATTTCCAGCCTTCGGAGGAGACACTAGGGAAATGTCACAGGTAGTAAAAGACAGCTCTGGGCCTGTCCTGGACACCCCAGTTTGGCGGCCTGAGGATGTGGGCACGCTTTTACTGTGCCAAGCTAATTCCTATCTACTATCCTTCTTCTGCTTGGTAAGGTGCTCCTACCCCCAAATAGGTGCCAGGGCGGTGAACTAATACAGTGGGCACATTTTAAACAGGGGGCTGATGCACAAAGATAAACACCATTCCCTATTGCCAGCTTCCCATCCTGCTTTCCAACTTGCTTATGTTATCTATTTATAGAGAATTAGAACAGAAAAGAACTAGGAAAGAGTCGGACATGCCCTGGATTGAAATCCTGAAATAGCACCAGCCACTTACATGTTCCTAGCCAAGGGGTGCATCTTTTCTGTACCCCAGTGCACAGCATAGCTCGGCTTTGAGGATCTGTGATAAGTAAGTGCTAAGCATGTGCCAGGAGCCAGAGCGCCACTGGCCGGAACAAGGATGAAGATGAGAGTATTATTAAAAGTGTGAATTATAAAATGAGTTATAAAACAGCACAGATACATAGCAGAGTAAATAAATGCTTGCTAGCTTTAAACAAGTGTTGGCTCAGACCACTTTTCCCTTGTGCTTGCTGAGTGGTCCACTCGGGTTCTCTACTGCTATTTTTTAATTGAAAAGAAATGCACGTGTATGGTAGAAAAACTTCAAACAGAACACTATAAACACACAAGCCCGGGCGTGAGAAAGCCCTGTTTTTTTCTTTTTCCTGGAGCCACTGTTATGTACCAATGCACATTCTTTTTTTTTTTTTTCCCCGAGGCAGGGTTTCTCTGTGTAGCTTTGCGCCTTTCCTGGAACTCACTTGGTAGCCCAGGCTGGCCTCGAACTCACAGAGGTCCTCCTGGGACCTCTGGGATTAAAAGCGTGCGCCACCACCGCCCGGCCAGTACTGATGCACATTCTAATCGCTAGTATCTTTTCTCCTTTTTATAAACTCATAGGGGCTTGCAACCCACGCTTCTTGGCAAGCTGGCTTCCAAGGGGCTCAGGAACTTTCAGGAGATGGATTTACTGCTGGGGCCCATGTCAGGAGCCTGATTTGACTGCAAAGGTAGCTAGTCTGAATCAGGCTTAAGCTTGACCTCATTCTTCAGAGAAAGCATCTCCTAGGCATTCTTACACCACACGTACCTACTTTTGCAACCTGTAAGGGGGTTTGTGGAGCGTGGTTGGGGCGTCAAGTCCCCTGAAGGCCACGTAGCCTGACTTAGTGGGGAATGCAAACCCAGCCCGGAGTTGGGGAACTGGCAGTTCCCACCATAGGCACCTCCCCTAGTATAAAGGCTTCGCGCCCTTCGCTCCTCCTCTGGCTCCTCCCATCTCCTTTCCCTTCCTGTTTCCTCCCCGGTCCTCCACTTTCTTCCCTAACTGCCAGTCCCTTTCTTCCAGTCCGAAGTCTTCCAGTCCCACCCTCTCCTCCTCTCTCTTGTCCCTCCTCTCTTCTTCCCGCCTCCTTCTCAGGCTCCAGGTCTCCTGGAAAACCCGGGGCAGATCTTCGGCCGGAACACGACTTGCGCATGCGCAGGAGCTGCGCCGGCTGGGTTGGTGGTTTGGAGGTTCCTGGCTGCTCCGTCCCGCTTCCCTCCAGGCCTCGGCTCCTGCTTGGGGCCGCTGAGCTGTGTAAGTGTCCCGCTGGGGTCCCGCGTTGGGGTTCCGGGCCGGAGGGGCTGGCTGAGGGATTAGCCCTGTTTGCACTTGCCCGGGTCCCCTGCCTGCTCAGGTCTCCTGCTTGCCGGGTCCACTGCTTGTTCAGGTCCCCTTGTGAGCCCAGATCCCCTGCCCAGCCGGGGACAGCCTGCTACCTGGTGGCCAGTCATCTGGCGCCCCGCCTGCACCTATGGTGCGGTGTGCGCACCTGAAGGATCTGCGTACACTTGTCCGGGATGGGCTGCACCTGCAGCCTCCAGGCGGGCCAGGCTGTCTTTGGCTCTCAGTCCCTCCTCTTTTCCGCTTTGGAGCCTGAACCTGGGCTGCACCGTGCGCCACGCCCCTCGCCCACAATGCTGCACTGGGAACCGGGTGCACCATCCCTAGCGGGCCCCGTCTAGCGGCCCAGTGCCTCAAACCCAGCCCGACTGGGCAGTTTCCCTGGAATGAAATCTTTGCTCTGTAAACTCCAGTTTGCCTCCAGTGACAGCTTGGGAGGAGAAAGTGTTTCGCTGCACCGGCCTTTGATCGTGCCTTTCTGTTGTAGCTTCGCTTCCTTGATACATTGTTAAGCAGAGCTTTCTGGTGTTAGGTCGGGTGACTGTGGCCTTTAACGGGGCTGCAATCAGGCTCCATTGAATTCCGGGAAAAGTATGAGGCCGACACACCCCCTTTAGAGACAGTGACTTTGCAGAGTGATGGAGTTACAGCTGTTTCCTTATCTGCCTTGTCTGTTATTACCAAACAGTAGCACCAGGTGCAGGACGTTGGAAACCTAGGAATATTCTCGAAGATTTCCTGATGAGGTTTGGTTTTCTTTTTTTAAATTGTTTTAGATGGTAGACTCGTGGGGGAGGGGAGGAGAAGATATTGTCAAGAAACTTAATCTTTAAAAAAAAAAAGTGGTGTTTGCCTGTAACCCTAGTGCTGGGGTAGGGGTTTGCCAGTTCAAGGCCAGCCTGGGCAACTTAGTGAGACCCAGGGTAAACAGAGCGAGGGAGTTAGGGCTCATCGGGAGAGAACTTTCCTAGCACGGGCAAGGTCTTGTGGGGGTTCTTAGCTCCACGTGCAGTCCGAAATTTTCACAGTTGCGTGACTATCACCATTCCAGAACATTTTTTTCAGTACTCAGAAAGAAAACCCTTACCTTTTAGAGAGTCACATCCTAGCCGCCGTGGACACACTTCCTTTGTTTATGGATTTGCAGCGTCTGGTCATTTCATGTTAGTGGAATCACCCATTGTCCACCTTTGGCTTCTTTTAGCCTACTGCTTTCCAGATTCATGTGTGTGTGTGTGTGTGTTGAGAGAGAGGAAAAAAGATAGAGAGAGGGGAGGGATAGTTAGTTGTTAGTAGGTACAGAGTTTCAGAGCTATAAGATGGAAAGTTCTGGAAATGGATGATGGTGACGGTGTACAGCAATGAATACTTTGCATGCTTTCAGAACTGTATGCTTAAAAATGGTATACCTTATGTTTATTTATTTGTTTGTTTTTGTTTTTTGAGACAGGGTTTCTCTGTGTAGCTTTGGTGCCTGTCCTGGATCTCGCTCTGTAGACCAGGTTGGCCTCGAACTCACAGAGATCCTCCTGGCTCTGCACCCCCCCCCAGTGCTGGGATTAAAGGCGTATGCCACTATCACTGCCGGACTATGTTTATGTATTTTTAAAAGATCTATTTATTTATTTTTGAGGAAGGGTCTCTTACACAGCCCTAGCTATCCTGGAACTTACTATGTAGATCTCTGCTGCCTCTGCCTCCTGAGTGCTGGGACTAAAGTGCGTGCGACCATGCTCAGCTCTTATTATTTGCTTGATCAACATAGTACATGTCCTGCTCCTCAGCTCTCCAGCTGAAGTGTATCAGCCTGTGCTTTCCAGGTTACAACTCTGTCACCAGTCAAATTCAGGACATGTTTGTCAGCGTGTGTGTGTGTGTGTGTGTGTGTGTGTGTGTGTGTGTGTGTGTGAATGTGTGTGAATTGCACCTAACTGCAGTGCCCTTAGAGGCTGGGGGAGGGCGATAAATCAGCTGGAGCTGGGTTTACAGGTAGTTGTAAGCAGCCCATATGGATGCTGGGGACTGAACTCTGGAACCCCAGACAGATGGTATGTACTCTTACTGCTAAGCCATCTCTCCAGCTCCTTTGCTGTTCTTTATTTTTTATGAATCTTCCTTTGAGATGGGGGAGGGGTCTTACTGTGCAGCTCTGGCTGGCTTGGAACTCACAGAGATCTGCCCTCCTAAGTGGCTGAAATTTAAAACACTTTTTTTTAAAGAGAAGATATGACTGTGTGGTCCAGGCTGACCAGGGACTCACGATCTGACCCTGGCCTCTTGAATGCCAGGATGGTGGGCATGAGCCACCATGTGTGGGTCATTTTTGTCCGTCTGCACAAAGACCACATCCTCACTAGCAGTTCTACCTGGTCCTGCTTTCCTGAGGAATAAATACATAGCCATTCTGTGGTGATGGATCAGGAGTCTTAGCTACCCTTGCTCATTAATTAGCTTGTTTCACTGTCAGAATCTGTGGCGGAATTCTAACCAGAAGTGTATTGAGGTCACATCCTAAACTGAGGGGTCTGACAGAGTTAGGATAGTGGTACTCCTGTCCATGAAGAGATTCCTATTTCTTCAAATCTGGACACTGGGAAAGTTCACTAATACTGGCGTATTTGGTCCATGGTTAGTTTCAACTTCTGCTTCTCACAGAAGAGACAAGTAGCCTTGTGGGGTACTGTGTGAAATCACTACGGCCACTCAGGGTGGTAACCAGGGTTGCCCCTGGGGCTTAACGGGGGTAGCCCTGGTGTGTGAAACCGAAGTCTCTGCCCACGCGGCTAATGGGGTCAGTGAGATTTCCGCATGGCAGAGACGCCTGTCATAGCCACTTTTCCCTTTGGACAGGCCCTCAGGATGAGTGTCCCCGACTACATGCAGTGTGCAGAGGACCACCAGACCCTCCTGGTGGTCGTACAGGCCGTGGGCATCGTGTCCGAGGAGAACTTCTTCAGGATCTACAAGCGGATCTGCTCCGTGAGCCAGCTCAGTGTGCGCGACTCGCAGCGGGCGCTCTTCATCCGCTACCGACACCACTACCCACCCGAGAACAATGAGTGGGGCGACTTCCAGACGCACCGCAAGGTGGTGGGCCTCATCACCATCACCGATTGCTTCTCTGCCAAGGACTGGCCACAGACCTTCGAGAAGTTCCACGTGCAGAAGGAGATCTACGGCTCCACGCTCTATGACTCCCGCCTCTTCGTGTTCGGGCTGCAGGGTGACGTGGCTGAGCAGCCGCGCCCCGACGTAGCCTTCTACCCCAACTACGACAACTGTGAGTCAGTGGAGAAGCGCATCGAAGACTTCATCGAGTCTCTTTTCATTGTTCTGGAGTCCAAGCGCCTGGACAGAGCCACGGACAAGTCCGGGGACAAGATCCCGCTTCTCTGTGTCCCCTTCGAGAAAAAGGACTTTGTGGGACTGGACACGGATAGTAGGTAAGTTTATGTAGGAATGGTTGACCTAGAAGCCCAGGGCTTGGTGCCTCCTCCTTACATAGGAAGCAAAAGGGATGTAAGAGCTTGGCCGCAGCAAGGACAGCTAAAATGTGGGCCATCGGCCACTAAATAGGAGGAGTCCCTTAGGAGTCAGCACAGACCCAGTTCCTGGGTGTCACGAGTCCCCTGGTGGGACTCCTGCAGTCATCACTGCCTGTGGCTTCTGAGCACGAGGAGCCAGGCTATAGTGAGCTGGGGTGAGCACATACTGAAAAAAGAACATAAAAATAGATCATGAATATTTTTTTTTGCATTGATAAATGTTAGGTTAAAAAAACGAAGTTAACATTCATTTCAAACTGTTTTATTTTTGAGACGGGGCTCATGTAGCCCAGGTTGGCCTCAAACTCTTTATGTCTAGGTCTGAGAGTGACCTAGAACTTCTGTTTCTCCTGCCTTCGTCTCCCAAGTGCTGGCAGCATTATAGACGAGCACCACCATATCTCACCTGTCTTAATGCTATGTTGGAAATCTCAGTACCAGGGTTTGCCATGTGCCAGAGAAGCATTTGACCTACTGAGCCACATCTATACCCCTGTTTTTACTTTTTTTTAAAAAAAAGATTTATTTATTTATTATGTACACAGAAGAGGGTGCCAGATCTCATTACATATGGTTGTGAGCCACCATGTGGGTGCTGGGAATTGAACCCGGGTCCTCTGGAAGAGCAGTCAGTGCTCTTAACCTCTGAGCCATCTCTCCAGCCCTATTTCTACTTTTTTTTTTTGACTTATTTATTTATTATGTATACAGTATTCTGTCTGCACATATCCCTGCAGGCCAGAAGAGGGCGCCAGATCTCATTACAGATGGTTGTGAGCCACCATGTGGTTGCTGGGGATTGAACTCAGGACCTTTGGAAGAAGAAGCAGTGCTCTTAACCTCTGAGCCATCTCTCCAGCCCCCTATTTCTACTTTTTAACTGGTGGTAACTAAAGCAGAGCATGGTGGGTCACACCTGTAATCCCAGCCCTCAGGTGGCTGAGGCAGGCGCATCTCTGAGTTTGAGGCCAGCCTGGTCTACAGAGTGAGTTCCAGGACAGCCAGGGCTACACAGAGAAACCCTGTCTTAAAACACAACACAACACAACACAACACAACACAACACAACACAACACAACACAAAACAAAACACAAACTGTGTGGCAACCAGACACTTGAATTAGCCTCACTGGTGGATGCTTCATCTGTTAGTACTGCTCTAGAGCACAGATGAGATTCTGAAGGGTTGGGCCCTAGAGTGCAGTCTAGGTCTCTGACTCCCAGGCCAGGCACTCTCCAGGTGTAGTCATACCAGGTCATTTCCTCATCCCGGAGCTGCAGGCGACCAGAAACACCACCCAGGTGCCCCTGAAGAGCCATCTGTATACACTGAAGTGTCTACATGCTCTGCATTCCAAGATGGAGCAGGACGGAGTCTGTAGGCTTTGTCCCTCGCCCTGTTCCCTGCACTTCCCTTGGATCACAATTACAGACTTAACTCTTCAGGCCGTTCCTTACGCTCTTAGTGCATGTCACTATCTTGCCACTGTGACTGCTAGCAGAAGAGGCGAGATGCAAGCCCTTTTGATAGAGAGAGCTCAGGGCGGCTGCGTCACCCAAAGGCTTGATGGCCCCAGGCAGGAGCCCAAAGCATTGAACTCTGTCCTGCTTCATCATAGAGAATTCAGGTCACGATCCCCGGGGAGGCTCAAATGGCGTCATGTGCCTGCTGTAGAGTGGGTGTCACCAAGTAGTGTGCTTCTGGAATTATCTAGAGTCACACAGCAACTTTTGGCTTGGTGCTGAGTTGACAAGAAAATACCACGGAATCAGCATAGGCCAAGGGCAGCCTTAGGGGTTGGATGCCAAGAGCGGCCCTGTCACACAGTCTGTGATGTTTAGCCGAGGTCTGGGTGGAATCTTCGTGTCTCACCTGAACTGATGCTTTTGGAGTATCTCAGGCCCGTTCTCCTTCACCTTTGCAGCAGGCCTGTAATTTCGTGGCCTGGCTTCCCGGGAGGAAGGATTAGAAAGATTAGCCAGCAGCTACTGAGTCAGAGCTGATGTCCCCGCTAAGCCCACTCCAAAGCCTTTACTTTGGACCTTGAGGGAGGTAACCATGCTGGGGGAAATGGCAGTCCAGCCGATTCAGCGGTTCTTATCCCAACACTGTAGTCTCAGTTTCCTGAGACGATCTGGAGTCAGGACAGAGCCACACACTTGCCCGCTCCTCCTGATGAAATGACACAGGGGCCTGGAGCTTGAGGGGAGATGTCTGGACGCACGCCCAGTGTTGGTTTGACGCGGCCACAATACGCTGATTGTACCCACACAGCCAACCCTGGGTGTGCATGGTCGTGAGTCCACACTCACACAGGCCCCACTCCTTAGAGCCATCCGGGGGTCTTGGACATGTAGTGTGTAGCTCTCGGAGTTATTTTGGTTCTTGTACGTTTCTAATTTTGCTTGTCCCTCTTTCTTTTCTTTCCTTTCTTTTTTTTTTTTTCTACCGTACCGCCCTGTGAGTATGTTGTTGGGTCTGAAAAGGTAGGCTGTGAACACACCACTGTGAAAGTGGCTAGTTTCCCCATGTGCTGTTCCCATTGCCGCCATTGCTTAAAAACAAAACAAAACAAAACCAAAACAACCAACACCGCTGCCTAGATCCCTGTGTGTTCCGAGCAGCCCTTTAATTGTTCATTTCTTTCTTTTAGAGTTTTAGCTTCCTCAGCACCTAACCCATTGGTGTTTGATGTTTGTCCAAATACTTGCTCCAGAGACCTCTGTGGTCTTTAGTATTGGTGACAAATGAGCCTTTACTAACTCCCGTTTTTTTGTTTTGAGGATGTGAGATGCCAGTTCATTTGGGTGGCTGCAGCGGTTTCCATGGGGGGATGTTTTAACGTGGGACACCGAGAGTGCAGCCCTGCTTGACCCCAGGCTTGGAAGCGAGTGAGGCCGCATGCGGTGGGTGGCTGCGGCTGTGGGATGTGCATGGTGGTGGTGGCCGCAGGTCAGACATGTGGGGAGCAGAGCTGCTGTGGGGAGCTGCCTGCCTTCTCTATTTGCTTTTCCCTGAGGGGCCCCTTCTCTATTCCTTTTTTTTTTTCCCAGCAGCTTCTCCCCAGAGAGGGTAGAGGCCATTTTAAGTGGACAGCAGTCCCTCTCTTTAAGAGGGCTCAAAGGTGACCTTTCTAAGGCCAGGAAGCAGTGACCTTCCAGATAGCTAGTTCATTGAGTCTTAAGCACGTGAGGACTGGTGTTACTGACTACTATTCTCTCTCTGCCTGCAGAGCTCTGCCCAGGCCCTCCCAGCCAGACTTTCCTCCCTGATATAGGCAGGAAAGCCCACTCCACGCCAGGGGAGGCTGATGGCATGCCACTCATCTGTGTCACAGATCTAGACCTCTCAGCATCTGAAGTCAGCCTTCCAGGCTGATCTTTGGCTGACCTAGACCCCACCGGCCCCATCCTTGGTTCCCCTCACTGTATGGCAAGGGTCTTATTCTGTATGCTGCTGCTACCATACACGGCCCCTGAGTCTCCATTTACTGTTCTGGCCAGGTGCAAACACTTTCATTTTGCATTTGCTTTGTCTCCATGGAGATAGACTGGACTCGTTGAGAGATTCCCTCCCCTTTAGGGTTGGGGCCGAAAGGAAATTATCGTCAGTAGTACAGAGAGTTGGGGTGATGCTGCAGGGAAAAAAACAGGGGTCCTCCTACGGTTGCAGGGCCTTTCTGTCACTCACTAGGTCCTGAATTCATTCATGTGACAATAGCTTGTCCTGGGCTTGTCACCTGCTCACTTAGCAGCTTGTCACAGGGACCATGAGACCATGGGGGAACCATGAATCGGTGTCCTGGCCTGTCCTCTGGGCATCCTACGTGAGGGACCAGGGCCCTTCTAAGTGCCCCTTGCAGGAGACACTAACTTCTTTAGTGAGGACCCCCTAGAGATAGTGTGGGGCACAGCTCTGGGCACTTGCTGTGTGTCGGGCCAGGTCCTGGGGACACACCAGGGCATGCTTCAGGGACAGAGGGAGGCTCCAATAGAATATGCGTGGTTCTGCCTGGAACATCTTGGGGTGCTGTACCCGGGTAGCCAGGTGCTGGAGGAGGGTGGCAGGTGCACATGGGCAGTCAAGAGGAGATGCTCCAAACAGCTGGGGTTGAATTGGTAGTCAGAGGAGGTGAGATGTACCAGCATTGAGTCTGTGTCTAGAACCTTAGAAATAGATAAGCTGATTTGGGGAGCCCTTTGGAAGCTGGGAATGGGGAGAGCGCCAATAACAGGGTATAAGGAATATGGACTCTTGGGGGCAGCTGACATGTGCCCGAAAGGTGTTATATATATGGAGGGCTGTCCGTCCAGATTGTGGAAAGCCTCCTGTAGCCAGGTCTGAGTAACTTGGGCTCTGGCAGTGGATTGTAGGAGGGAGCTTGTGTGGAACGAGTTGGGTGGCAGTGGTGGCCAAGAGACAGGTGAGGCCATCCTTAAGGGAAGGGCCCCTTGCAGGAGCAGGATGGGATTTCCAGCTAATGTCCTGTCCTTCCTGTGAACTCAAATGGAAGGTTGGATAGGGGTCTAAGGGGATGGGGAGGGGAGACAGTGCTTTACTCCTAAGTGTGAGCTACTGTGTTGCCTCGGTAGTCACAGGCTCAGTGCTCTCTGGGGGAAGAGGAGGAGAGGGGGAGAAGCCCGCGCAGCCAGCTTTCAGTCAACAGCTAGCGACCGAACCCGCGTACCTCAGATCAGCCACGGCATCCGAGGTGGGGTCGGCAGGCATGTTTTTGCAGCATTCTCAGAGAGTTTAGTTGGTGATGTAGCAGGATGAAGGCTCAGGCTGGTCAGACCTTCTCTCTTCTGAATCTGCTCTGTGATGCTAGAATCTAAAGCCGGCCAGTTTTGGAGCCTTAAAAAAAAAAAAACAGAAAACAAAAACAACATCTCCCCACCTCAGTGCCCACGCTCTGTCACGAGCTCAGCATTCCTTGGTGGTTCAGTGGCACCAAAAACCTTTACCCTCAGAGAGACGGGTCATTCTGGCAAGGACATGGCTTAGATAATGCTCATGTACAACTAGACATGCCACTTTGACACTTTCCTTTCTTGGTGGTACCAGGGATGGACCCCAGGGCTTCCCCCATGTACCATATGCTAAACGTGTGCTCTCTGCCACCAAACTACAGCGCCAGTCCTGCAGAGTAGTTCAAAATAAAGATTTGTTTATTTTTATGAGTTTTATGTCTGTGTACCATGTGTGTACAGTGCCTTTGGAGGGAGGAGACGGTGTTAGATCCCCTGGAGCTGGAGTTACAGACAGCTGTGTGCTACCCTATGGATGCTGGGAACTGAATGCAGGTTATCTGACAAAATGGCAAGTACTGAGCCACCTCCGGCCCCCAGAGTGATTTTTTTCCCCTCACTTAGGTGGTGAGGCTAGGCTTGGGGCAGTCTTTTGAGCTGAATATTCTCAGCTGCCATTCCAGTCCAGAATGGTAGGAGGCTGGAGGGCCTGCGCATGAGGGCGTAGAGTAGCTAGCTGGTGGTGGACTCCCCCCATCTCGGGATCTGTGTTGGGGATCCTTGGGGAGGAGGTTGAGGCATGAAAGTAACATGTAAGGTTGTGCCGGGAGTGGTGGCCCCTTGGGGGAAGGCCAGGAAGACTAGTCTGGAGACCTTGGGGTGACCGTGGCTGTGTCTGTGTCTCCTGGGGATGGAAGAGGAGCCCAATGCAGTCTTGCTTGTTAGCAAGGCCATCCTGGTACAGTCCTGTGGCCAGGGAGTAAGGTAGCCAAAGCTGATGTGTCCCCTCTGCATGTCTACACAGACATGTCTTCTGATAGTATTGGGTGCAGAGAAGCTGAATCCCAGCGTGGTCAGAGAGCCAGGGCAGCCCGGTAGAGTTGGGCTGGCCAGGGCTTCCCTTCCTGTTGGGATCTGCCTGTCCCTCTGATCTAGTCAGGACCTTCCCCACCCCTGTAGTCGCTCATACCCGAAAAGAATTGCTTCCGCTTAATACAGCTGCGGTTTGCTTTTTAAAAGAATCACACAGTTGAGGCTGTTTAATATTCAAAGGGTTTAGCAGTGTTTTCTGAGGGCAGGCAAGCTCCGGGTCGTGCATCGTTCCACAGCACGACCTCACCAGTGCTTAAGGAGCCCCAACCTGAAGCCCCTGCTCAAGCTTGCTCTGAAATTATGAAGACAAGGGTCCCGTTCGCTAAAGCCAGATAGCCGGCTGATGATGTAGCCCATCTCTTTTTATGGAATAATCTTAGGGCTGAAGTTAAAAGTGGGGAGGGGTCACTGATTTCCTAAAAAGCTGAGACATACGCCCTGTGATGTTGTTGAAACTGGAGCTATCTGAGAAGACGGCTCCGACTGTAACAGTGTCTTGAATAGGTAGCAAGGGTCTTGCTTCGGACTTTTTTTAAAAACCATGCGGCAGCACAGCTTTGAGGCCAGGACCCCTGCAGCTCACATGACTGGCAATGGCCGCTGCTGGCTTCCAACCTTAGAGCCTAACACCGCCTTTCTCAGCATTCGTTAGTGGTAGAAACTTGCGTAATGCTCGGCCCTGTGCTGGGGGAGGGGGAGAGAGGGGGAGGGGGGGGACGGTAATAACGAGGCGTTTCCCTGGAATTTTATCTTTTAGACATTACAAGAAGCGGTGCCAAGGACGCATGCGGAAGCACGTGGGGGACCTGTGCCTCCAGGCTGGGATGCTGCAGGACGCCCTGGTACACTACCACATGTCCGTGGAGCTCCTGCGCTCGGTGAATGACTTCCTGTGGCTAGGGGGTAAGGCAGTCTGACCAGAGGAGTCGATAAGTGGATGTGTCCACCGGTATTTGAATGTGACCAAAGAAAGGTGGAGGGGGGAAGCCGGCAGTGCCTGCTGATTGCTTTGTGGGGGCCGTTTCCCATGACCTATCTGCTGCTCATTCTGCATCTGCCTCGCCCTGCATCCTCTGAAGGAGGCATGTACTTTCTTCAGCCTGTATTCTTGGCCTCTGTTTTGGTTGCCAATGCCTACGCCCTCACCTCTTCACGCCAGTGCACAGTCTTCCTGCTCACATTAGGGATTATGAAGATGCAGCCCCCAGGGAGAGCATGGGGTGTGCAGTGTGTGTACAGGGACACCTTAAGAAAGAGATTGGGGCCGGAGAGATGGCTCAGTGGTTAAGAGCACTGGCTGTTCTTCCAAAGGTCCTGAGTTCAATTCCCAGCAACCACATGGTGTGGCTCACAACCATCTGTAATGAGATCTGGTGCCCTCTTCTGGCTTGCAGGCAAAACATGCAGGCAGAATACTGTATACATAATAAATACATCTTTAAAAAAAAAGAAAGAGATTGGTCACCGAGGGGGCGGCGGCGGTGGTGCCCCCCCTCCGCCCTCACCCCTACCCCATTAAGTAAACGAGTGTAACCAGCCATCCAAAAAGAACCCTAAAAATGAAGGTCCCGTGTATAAATGAGAAAATGAAGTTTCCCCTGAGTGCGCAGGCCATCGGTCACACCCTGAGCCTGGTCAGCCTCTCCTGTTGCCCTCTCGGACATGGCCTGCAAAAGACAAGTGGTCTCTGTGTGCTTCAAAACTAGTGATTTCCCCCCCGCCTTTTTTTTCTCTGACACAGGTTATCTCTAGCCTGTAACTCACTATGCGGACCAGGCCGGCTTTGAACTTACAGAGACACCGGCCTCCCCCGCCCCACCTCTTCCTCTGCCTCCCCAGTTCTGGGATAAAGGCATGTAGCACCATGCCCGGCTAACGAACTTTAACTGTAAACTTGGTTTTTGGGAAATGGGCATTTTTTTTTCCAACTGAGAACGACTGTTTGAGTCATCCTTAGCCCCTCCAGGGTGGCTTTTCTAACCCTCCTTTTACTTCTTCTCTTCGCCACCCAGCTGCCCTGGAAGGGCTGTGCTCGGCTTCCGTCATTTACCACTATCCCGGAGGAACCGGCGGCAAGACGGGGGCTCGGAGGCTCCAAGGCAGCTCGCTTCCCTCAGAAGCAGCCAACAGACACCGGCCAGGTGAGCCTGCCTCTCTCCAGCCTGCACCCACGCCAGTCTCTGAGGAGAGGTGTAGCCTGCTGCGCTGTCTTTTCCTTTCCATTAGGTCTCACGAATGTTTGTAGGTCGGGGGAGTCGGTGCGTTCTGAGGTCTCAGAAAATGTTTTCTTCTGGCTTATCAGTCCTGCTGGTACAGGGAGGGGTTCACGTACCGATGACTGCCGATTTCTAAACTCCTGCTGGAATTCCCCGGGCAGAACCAACTTGGATACCTGTGCGATGGGTAACACTGGTCCCTGGAGTCAGCTGATGCTGGGGCCAGGGTATTTCTGGTTTCATTGAAATTTTCCTTGTGAGCTAAGCTTGGCTTCCCGATGTCTGGTTCCAGTGGAGAGTGAAAGACTTCTCCGGCTGAGGAGACCCACAGATGAGCTTTTTGACCCTTAGTGCATTACTGGTCACATTGCAGCAGTTAGGCAGATGAAGATTGCCCTAACTCAAGGCCAAAGCCAAAGCCGCTAGGTGCTTTTTGGTTTTTAGAAATTTTTAGAAAACATCCACAAAGAGTAAACCACATTTCCCCCTAAATGGGGACAAAGTAGTGTCATTGCAAAACACAGCTGTCACTCGAAAGGAGACAGTTTATTCTGAACCAGATATAAGTGATTCTGGTCGAGGAACCTAGATTTCAGCTTGTCTGCAGTGACATTTTCCGCGGTGGACGCGGTTATAGTCACAGAACCAAAGACAGCCACAAACAAGTACACTCATCAACTCCATTGATAGGGACATCAGTGAGGCGGGTTACAGCAGAGCAGGGACATCTCTGCTCTGGGTCTCGGTTGCTAGCTGATGACCTTCATAGCTTCTGGGTCAGTGGAAGGTAGGGATCGGCTAAGTTAATCTCTCACAAGGCTTTTAACCTGATAGTCACAAGAATGTTATCTCAGAGGTGCTAAAGACAGCTCAGGATAACTTCGGCTCCTGGTCTATCACAATCAAACTCTGTAGTCATGGAAGTAGTCGTTCAGTCAGCCTGCAGACTCTCAAACAGAGGCATGGCTTTCTCAGGAAACTTCGGTCCCCGGTCGTTAACACGTTGGAAGGGGAGCCATATCAGTTCTCTCAGCACCCATTGTAGAGCATGCCGAAGCTGCTGAGTGAACTGGGTTCTGCAGGGGACCTGTTAGATGAAGGCACATAGTTCTTGAGGTCCCCAGCGTGCTTGTCTGCCAGAAGCCCCTGGTGGCACCTCCATTATCAAAGAGGAAAGGGAACAGGTTGAGAGGGGATGCTGAGAATGGGAGAAATCTGCCTTCTGGGCTTTGATCTCCCCCAGATGCACGGCTGGGTGCTGGGTGTTGTCGCGGGCCCTGCTGTGAGACCTCAGCCTTCAGAGTTTCACTCTTAGCCAGCTCCCAGCTCCCACGTGCTCATGTCTCCAACACAGCCAGCAAAAAGCAACTTCTGGTCTCTCTTTAGAGGCTTTTTTTTTTTTTAAGGTTTTTCAGTGTGCTGACTGCCCCCTGATGTGATTGCAGAGACTAGAAGTTCTTAGGGTAACATTTCATCTTTTTTTTTTTGCCTTGCTGGGTGTGGGCAGAAGCAACTTAAACAACCGAAGGACTGCTCCAGGTCTCAGGAGAAATGTCTTTATTTAGCCTCACTGTGTGTGAGAATGTTGGAACTTTTCACTGTTGAAGACAGCCGGAAGGCCAGGAGGTCGGAGACACCGACCGATGCACAGGCAGTGGCTTTCTGTGCATCCGCAGGCTGGATCTGGGGGACAGATGTCTCCTTTCAGATTCTGATCTCCAGACCGGTTGGTGGGTAGCGGCAGCCTTGCCTTGCTGCAGAGAGGTGAGCATTTACCGAAGACAAGTTAAGCTGTTACCGCCCTCCCTTGTGGCTCCTGAGTCTTCAGCCACAGAAGAGCAGAAATCTAAATGTTACATGTGACTGGGACCAAGTTGTGTAATCTCAAGGGACTGAGACAGGAGGATCACCATGAGTCTAAGGCCTGCTTGAACTACCTATTGAGTTCCAGGCCAACCTAGGCTACAGAGTAAGATCTTGTTTCAAAGATATTGAAAGGCAGGGGTGTGTGTGGCTCAGTGGGTAGAGGCACTGGCCACCGAGCCCGAAGACCTGAGTTTGATCCATGCGACTTACATATTACGTGGTAGAAGGAGAGAACTGACTTTCACAAGTTGTCTTTGGACCTTTCTCTCTCTCTCTCTCTCTCTCTCTCTCTCTCTCTCTCTCTCTCTCTCTCTCTCTCTCTCGGGCTGGGGAGATGACTTAGTGGGTAAGAACATGTGCTTTTCAAACATGAGAAACTCAGCACTGGGTGGCAGAGATGAGCTCTCTTTTTTTTCCACTTGCTGTGATAATATACTCTGTCAAAAGCGACTTAGGGGAGATGGCTGCTTCTCTTTTTTAAATATTTTTGATTTGTGAGTATGTGTGCATCCTAGGCACATGTTGGAGAGTATCTCTGGAGGTTTGAAGAGAGCATTGGATCCCTTAGAGCTATAGTTAGTAAGGCACCAGAAGTGGGTGCTGGGAATTGAACTCAAGTCCTCTGCAAGAGCAGCAGCAGCTCTTAACCTCTTGAGCAACTCACAACCATTTCTCCAGGCCCCTCAGTTGTTTTTGGAGAGAAATGCAAAGACTGGGAGAAAGTTTTCCAGCTGACTGTTACAAGGACCAGTTTCCTGCATCTCAGCTTCCCTAGCAGATGCACAGCCCCTTCCTGTTATACTGTCCTCTGTGAGCCGGTCTCTTTTGTCTGACATGTCATACAGTTTAGTTTAGTGGCTAAACAGCGCCACCTTTCACCGAAGCCGACTAATGCCTTTAGAAGCTGAACAGGTCTGTGAGCTCTGGATCATAATTTCTAAAAAAGCATCATGCAAACCCTAGGAGGATTCTTGCAGGGTGTTCCATAGGTGTTGCTGTTGCACTTATTATTATTATTATTATTATTATTATTATTATTTTTGATCTTTCTCACTTGGACAGGCTCCTTGAACATGACTTCTTCATTTCATGCTTCAGACTGGTCCCCGGTATATATCTGGAAAAAACTTTCTGGTTCCATATTATTTTTGTCTTGTCAGCTCCGTCTGAAGGTTTCAGGCATGCTGTCAGAGCAGCAGCAGAACTGGACTTTCCCTCCAGCATTAGGAACCAGTTAGCCATGACGTCACAGCTCTGCAGCCCACCCCAAGTTTCCCTCTCCACTCCTGTGACCCTCTAGGGTCAGGAAGATCTTGGCTTCCGGTTCAGCTGAGGTGGTTGTATGAGGTGCTATGCTCAGCTATATGCATTAGGTGTGTTATTGAAATTGTAGGTCATAGCCTGTTTCCCTAGTTGGGTCTGGCCACCCACCCTCAATAAGCCAATTAAAAAGAGCCAAATTAAAAGTGGGAAGCAGGAAAAGGAGATTTATTCCATGTGGCCAAATTGGGAAGAGGATTGAGAGTCTTGCTATGTAGCCTAGGCTGGCCATGAACTTGGTTCTGTTCCATTCCTCCCACCATTTCAGAGATTATAGGCATGCACTATAACATTGGGTGTTATAACCATCATTTTATAACGTTTGATGATCTCTAAGGAATTAGAGTAGGAAGAAATAGTGTTATGAGGCAAGACCCAATTAAGAAGTAGGAGAAGAGCCAGGGCCTGGTGCACAGGTTTATAATCTGTGGATTTATAATCTTAGTTAGTGGGGAGGCTGAGGCAGGAGGATGGTAAGTTCAAACTTCAAGGCCTGCCTGGTAATTGAGCAAAGACTCAGTCTCATATAAAATTAAGAAGTTGGAGGTGGATCTTGTTTGAGAGGTCCATACCTGTGCTCTCAAGGGCGTCTTAACCTTCTTCCTGAGTGTCTCTCTTTCTCTTAACCCTTGTACTGAAAAACGTCTTCTAGCTGGGCATGATGGTACATGCTTTGTATCCCAGCACCTGGGAGGCAGAGGCAGGTGGATTTCTGTGAGTTAGGCCAGATTGCTCTATAGAGCAAGTTCCAGGCCAGCCAGGGCTCCATAGAGACCCTGTCTCAAAAAAAAAAATCTCGTAACAAATTCCAATTCTGCTTTTTAAAAAGAGGAGTTGGGGATCTAACTCGGCGGTAGAGTACTTTTCCAGCCCACGTGAAACCTGGGCTCAGCCTGCACCACACACACATGCCCGTTGAGGGTCCAGGGAGGCTGAGCACTAGCAGGGTTAGTGTTAAGGATGCTGCAGTGTTATCTGACCTAAAGCTGAAGAGGCGCTTCCTGTTTTGCTTGATGTTTTTGAGACAGTCTCACTGTGTAGCCCAGGCTGGCCTAGAACTTCAGATCCTCCCGCTTCAGCCTCCCTGGTGAACATACACATACAGACATGTACATATGCAGATATGGCACACATACACACCTCCTACAACATTACTGAAAAAAAAAATAAAAACCATGAATAAGGGACTGTAGAGGTAACTTGGTTACCAAAGTGTGTGCCACTCAAGCATGAAGACCTGACATTTTTTGTTGTTGTTTTTGTTTTGAGGTGGGGTGTTTTGTTTTGAGGTGGAGTTTCTCTATGTATCCCTGACTGTCCTGGGACTCTGTAGACCAGGTTAGCCTTAAACTCAAGAGATCTGCCTGTCTCTGCCTCCCAAGTGCTGGGATAAAAGGTGTGTGCCACCACCACCACCCCGTTGAGGACCTGACTTCTACCTTCAGAACCAATGTAAAAAGAGCTGGGTATGGTGGTGTGTACTGGAATCTCAATGCAGGGGAGGCAAAGACAGGTGAATTCTTGGGTCGGCCAAGCATAACTGGCAAGCCCTAGGCAGTTAACAGACGCTGTCTCAGAAAAGAAAACAACACAAAATTTGGGGGATGTCTTCAGAGGCATGGCACACAGGGTTGACCTCTGGTCTCTCTCTCTCTCTCTTGTGTATGTGTACACACACACACATACACACACACACACACACGTGCATGCACATGCGTGCACACACACTCACACACACAAAAGATTGCTATATTATACAGCATACATAGCTCTCAACTGGCACTGTGATCCCAGAGCTTGTTCTTTACACAGACAATTGAACAAATGACCTGCCGAGCAAGAACATAGGCTGTTGGGACCTACCTTTTTGAATCTTATTAAACTGTTTAAAAATGACAGCAGCTAATGATGAGCATGAGTCTTGAGCCTGGAGCTCATGGGGTGTGCTTTGCTGTGATGGGGAATTACCTTTTGCAGAGAAGGCTGCCTGGGCCTCACTGACATTAGCAGATGAGGAAGGTTTTCCCAGCTTCTTGAGAAGAGCAGAGCTAATTGTTTCATGTGTAAGCTCCCTTTCCTCCTCTTCATCCCTTAAAAAAAGAATTATTTCTCTCTCTCTCTCTCTCTCTCTCTCTCTCTCTCTCTCTCTCTCTCTCTGTGTGTGTGTGTGTGTATGTGTGTGTGCATATGTACCACGTGTATGAAAGTGCTCACAGAGGCCAGGAGAGAGCATCAGATCCCCTCCAGCTGGAGTTACAGGCAGGTGTAAGCTGCACAGTATGAGTGCCTAGATCTGAATTTGGGTCCTCCGCAAGAGCAATACTCCTAACTGCTGAGCTATCTTTCCAGACTCCACCAGCCACTTTGAGACAGAGTCACTCATTCGGGCCTCAAGCTTACTATGTGGCCAAGGATGATCTTGACCTGCTGATCCCTTCTTCTGAGTACTGGAATTAGTGGCATGTGCCAACATGTCCTGTTCACCTGGTGCTGGGGATTGAACCCAGGGCTTGGGCATACTAGGCAAATATTCCACTCACTGAACTACAACTTCAGCATAAACCACCTCTAAACATTGCAAATCCTTAACTTTGATGAGAGTCCTGTAATTCACAATTCATTTTTCCTCTGTGTGTGTGTGTGTGTTTGTGTGTGTGTGTGTGTGTGTGTGTGTGTGTGTGTGTGTGTGTGAGAGAGAGAGAGAGAGAGAGAGAGAGAGAGAGAGAGA